GCTTTCCTGGGAACGAAACAGGTCTTTCTTTTCATAGTTGACTAGCTTAGTTAATAAGTAATGACATTGTTTTACAACAATGACCAAACACAACAGATATAAATAGATTGGGACAAAAATACAATCTGCTATTGCAAAATCTATAATCCCCCAGAAGATAGGGGACCTCCTACTCACACGCCACAAGCTGCCAGCCCATACAGCAACCATGGGCCCACCAACAGGCTTTGCAGAGAGAATGGGCCAGCTGACAAATAGGTTAATGGGGTTGAATGAGAACAACTCTGGACAGAAACACATGTATTCAGTTCACATCAGTGCTCGACAAACACATGAACACAATGCTTGTGTGGAAATGATTTTGCTTTACGGTTCTTTTCTTTTCTTTTTTTCCCCGGCCCAACCTTTTCAAAAGACTGGTTTTAATTTGAACTGGTTCAGTAGGATTTGAAAAACAACAACATTGATATTGTTTTCGGGGCAGCAGAAAGAATTAGTACTTGGGCTGGGATTGGAGTTCAATAATTAGTGTCGTCCACTTTGGCTGGTGAGTCATTTTATCCTGGTCCACATTACTCCTCCCTGTCTTTTTAGTTCAGAGTCTAAACATGCCTCACATTTCTTTTGCCTTGAGTGTCTATATCTAATCAATCTGAATGTGCCATTCATAAGAGATCAGATAACCACCAGCAGGCAGGTGACCCTCAGCCCACCAAAGCTGACAGTGATTGGTGCTTTATTGTGTAAGTGTTATTGTAATTTAAGAAAAGCAGCATGTGAGAGAAAGATGCTACGAGGCAGGGTTCAAGCAGAGGGTTTTTTTTAAAGGGGAAAGGGAAGGGGGAGACTGACCACCTCCTCCTGAGACAGGAACAGCAGGAGAGAGGAGAAATGAAAGAGGAAGAGAGGTAGAAAAAGGGAGAGAGAGAGAGACAGAGACAGAGAGACAGAGGGAGAAAAAGAGAGAGAAGGACGGGAGATGGGCAGGGCCCTTTTAAAAGGGAGCATAGTGAATGTGCACAGGTGGTGCTCTTAGTGGCTGCAGCTCAGGGTGAATCCTGTCAGAACCCCAAGGGCAGGCCGGTACACATGCCTGAATACTAACAGGTGTCTCACATGAATCAACAGCTCTTCTCATACAAAGCAGAGGGCTCCTCCCATCTGTGGACTTTTTTTTTTCTGGGAAGAGGCCTCCAGAAGCTTTGTAAGCTGGCCCTAATTAGAACTTCCTCGATTTCTCTTGTCTGTACTTATCTCTCTGATTCCCTCCTCCTTCTGGGTGGGGTCTGTATCGGCTGAACATGTTTTGAACTTATGGAACTAGTTGCTTTAAAAACAGAAGGTATCAGTATCTTTATTTTAGTTACAAAGAAGCCATGGAATGTTCTCTTCAGAGCTTAAGATACAATCCGTTAGGCACATGAGGATGGAAGTCTGAGAATCATTGAGCCAGGGCCCATAGTTTCTGTTACAAAGGCTACAAAGTTGCTGACTTCCACAAGCAAAACTGTACACCATACATTTAATTAATGCAAATGAAATTCATTTATGCAAATTAAATTCTCCCTGTATGTGCACATACACGTATGTAGGTATACAAAGTGTTGGTGTGCTTCCCAGAGTTCGTATAGTAGAGTCTCGGTCTGTGTTGTGGACTGATGGCCTGTTAGGATTTTAAAAGGTGGCCTATTGGAAGGTGGCTGGATCACAGGGGACTATCTTGCAAGGACTATGGCTTCTCGTTTTCAAGAGGAGTCCTAAGTGACCAGACTTTTGTATGTTAGCCTGGCATCTCCTACTTCTTGGCTCACGTGTGCATGCCCCTCCTGTGTGTTCCTGGTTTCCTTTCCATGTTGTGATACAACTGCATGGCACTTACCAGGTTCCAACAGAGTACTGCCTGATCATAGAATTGAGATTTCCAGATTGTGAATTAAATAAAAAGAGATCCTGCCTTGTGGAATGGAAAGACGGTCGGTGGCAACTGCCGGACACTGATTTTTCTCGATTCTTATGATCTATTCTAGAAATTTCCCTCCTACTGTCTCACCTCATTGTCTTATTTTCTAGCTGTCAACGTTTGCCTCCTAGCAAGAACCATGTGGTAATGCTGTCAACGTTTGCCTCCTAGCAAGAACCATGTGGTACTGATGACAGCGGAAGACATCATATGATCTCATTTAATAGAAACACAGATGGATTTTGATCTGTTTATGCCGACATATATATTGTATATTTGCATATGTAGAATTGAGCATCATTGTCTGAAATTCATGGGGCTACGGTTTTAAGTACCCGGCAGTAAGACTGGATTGGGCAGCTTCTGCCAGTTCCCGCATTGTAAATACTACAGCCTGTCTCAAGATGCTGCTGTGATGTCATGGAATGTGAGTTGGGGACAATAAGCAACAGCACATCAGAATATAGAATTCCCACCTCTCACACACAGCGAGTGGGGTTTGAGGGGGTAGGAATGCAAGGAAGGATTGACTGCCCGGGACCCTCAAAGCTATTGAAAGGAATTTGGAGAGTAGGGGCTAATGTTCCCAGAGCTTCTGGCGAGTCTCCTTAGTTCTTTAGGGGTGAATAGCTGCTTGATTTGCCTAGGTTAGACCTCAAATTGCTTACCCATGATGCCCCAGGAATCTCACTGGGGTAAGCGGCAGCGTGGAGTGTCATCAGAACCTGGAGCAGAACTTCCTGGGGGAAATGCATTCTGGGTTAGCACAGGCATGGAGAACCTTGGGGTGGGCTCAGGGGTAATCCCCAAAGTCCTGAGCAGTGGGTGGCGTTCCTCTGGTGGCCATGGAGGAATGACAGGGTGGAGAAAGGACTGTGCAGCGGAGGCTACAACAGAGTGTTCTCTTCTCTTCCTCCTTCTGTCATTTATGTCCTCTCTCCCCACTTCCCCAGGGAGCACCTCTCCCCCCGAACTGAGGACACAGCCAGTGTGAGACAGGGTCTAGGTAGAGCCGGAGTGTGAAGAGGAGAGAGAGAATTCCTTAGGTGGCCAGGGTACCAGAGGCTAGGGCGTGGGTGGCGTTCCTGGGACAGAGCTGCTAGTCAGACACGTAGAAACCTGTCCTGGTTATAACCCAGTGGTCATAAGGACAGGCGTTTGGATGCTTCATTCAGCCAAGCCCTGGACAAAAGGACTTGTGGGCCTTGAGCTGGTACAATGGGAAACACAGGCCTCAGGGGCAGAAGGAACAGGGTGGGATTTCAGCCCTAACTCTGCCCTAGGTGACTGAGCAAATGACCTTGCTTTTCTGTCTTATTTCTGCTTATTCTGTGGAACACCTCTCTCCTCTGGATGCAAATCACACCAGTCCTGCCTGGGTCGCCTCTCAACCCACTCCTTCGTTTTTTCTGCCCTTGCTGATTTCAGATCCCAAGAGTGGATTGCTTGGTTTCTGTTTGGTGCCAGGTAGATTCGGTATGGTATGTTACTAGATTTGCTCCTGGAAAATAACTTCAGATGTGTAAAATCTCAGCTTGGATGACTGTTAGGAAGGTGTCAGTGTTCACAGAGCTTCTTAACTTGTGGGTCACCATTTTCTAAGCACTGAAAGGACATTGTGCCATATGACATCTGTCCTCACACCGAATGTCTGGGCTATTTGCTATAATGTTACTCAGGTGACTCCAAAGTTCCCAACCGGATCATGTTCTTTGTACATGTAGGCATCTCATATAACCAGCAGTGTTCAAAGATCAAGTCCTACCTTGGGAGAGCATCCATTGCTCCTGGAGTGGAAATAAAAACTCCGCCCGTCCTTCTCACAACATCCATGTACCCGAAGACACCTGTCCACTAAAGCTTCTTGGCCTCTCAACACCCATGAAGAAACGGTCAATGGTTCCTCAGCCAGGATGGGGCCCATGTGCTGCCCCCACCATCTGTGCTGGGATGCTGCCTGCCTTGATGGTGGGCAGACCTTATGCCGGCCACCGTGGCTGCTCTGAGTTCACGAGTGCGATCTTAGGTCACGTTCAGAAGGCACTGTCTCGCCGCAGTGGCTCCGGCCATCTTTCCATCTCCTTGTCTGGGACGCGCCTTGATGTGTGTGTGTGATACTGATGCCCCGCCTATGTCTGAGCACGCCATTGACATTTATTCTCTGCATTTGACCTGTCTGCTTTTCTTGGTGTGCTTACGATATAGTCTGTGCTCTCATGGAGGCACCTGTTTTCAATGCTGACTTAGAAATATACTACACAGGAAACAGCCTGTGTCCTCTTACCTTGGCATCAGCGGCGTCCACTGCAGTGGGCAGAAGATAGCAGAGAAACGGGTGGATGTCTACTGACTCATTCAGACACATCCTTCGGCTTGCTCTTCTGAGAACCATGGTCTGCAGCATGAGCTCCGTAGCCACCCAGTTTGGGATGTGAATCCTAGTTCTGTTGCTTACAAATGGGTTTCAGCTGGGTTACTTAATGTCCTAGTTTCTTAATGGAGGTCATACTAACCCCACAGTGTTGTTATGGATTAAGTATGAATTGGTGGTACTTAGCAGTGCCAGGCACAAGCTCATCCAGTACAGGGTAGCTGTGATGGCTTGCCCAAGGTGTCTAAGTTATCTTGACAGTCTATGCTTGGCTCCATGAGGCACTAAGGCCAGCATCTTGGAACAGAGAGTCCATTATTGCAGAATAAATCCACCTGAGAAGCAGGGCATTGACTGTGATCCCGTTGGCAAGACTGGATCGAGCCAGCACTGTCTAGAGAAGTAAGAAAAGCCAACTGAGCCAGGAACAGTTAGTGACTTACTTCTAGTTGCAGGTCTTCTCTTTCCTCGATGCTGGCCTTGACTGCCATCCCTGGTGACTGTCAATAAATGTCACTATTTGCAACCCCCCCCAGTACATTTGAATTTCACAAGATCTATATTTCCCGGGCAAGGACCCAAGTTCATCAAGTCAATTTGGAAAAGCAGCTGATGGAGGCAAAAACCATAACCATAACTAACAGAAAGACTTTGAAACAGACACAGAGGGGAAATGAACACACCGTTTAATCTTGTCTTCACTCCACGTTAGCCATTTAATCTCTGCTTTGGCTCTATACATCTGGGAGGCATGTAATTTTCTAAACATTTTATTATAAATGTTCAGCTTTCCTCCCCAGCAGCTTAGGAAGCACTCACTCATAATGCTGAAGGAAAATTGAGATGTGGTTTAGGTTTTTGCTAAGCCAGCATTCAGGGTGAACTGCTGTAGCATTTGGAGGATTCTGCAATTGATTTCAACAGTTTGGCCTTGGGGCACCTTACATTGCCAAGGAAACAATCCAGGAGGTGAAAGGTTTTCAGGTAAAAGCCTGGTTTGGAGGTTTGATTTGTTATGTTGAACAATCCTGATAAGGCGACCTCTCCGCACATTCCTACTGCTCTGGTTTGACTCAGTGCAGAAGAGCCACCAGCAGTTTCTGGAAGTCCCCAGAAGTGTCTGAGCGAACCATGTCAGAGAGAGACTTCTGATATTTCTCCTGGAACTTGGCTTTTATCCCCTGAAGGTCTACCTGTAGGAATAATGACAACAGCGTGGGAGACAACACTGATAGTGTGTTTGTTAGAAAGAGCAGACAACTGTCATAAGCCATTAATGGGGAAGTCCTTCTGTGTATATGTTTGTCTTATTGGTTGATAAATAAAGCACTGTTGGCCAATATGGAAGCAACATAGGTGGGACTGGGAGTTGAGGAGGATTCTGGGAAATGTAGTCAAGAGTAGGGGTCACCATGTGATCCTGGGAAGAGAGGACACATGAGGCTGGTGTCCTCAGTAAGATAAGACCTTATAGAAATATATATGTATATAATATATATATTATTAGTTATGGGTAATGTTTAAGACAGAACTAGCTAATGAGAAGCCCTGGACATTGGCCAACAGCACTGTAACTAATTGAATCTCTATGTGTTATTTGGGGTTGATGCGGCTTTGAGACCAGGCTGGCGGGAAGAATGCTCATTACAAGTCATCATGTTTTCATTTGTTATATCTTTAGACAGCCCTTAGGGCTGAGCTGGCATTATTTACAGTCTGAGGATAAGAAAAGGAAAGCCTACTTTTAGCTTCCTAAAAGTGGACTCCATTGAAATTTTATGTGTAGCAGTTAAAATTTAAATTGCATAGATTTTCATGTGTTACAAAATATTCTTCTTTTGAATTTTTTATGGGTATTTGAGAAGGAGTCATTCTTGGGTGGCAAAACTCTACACATACAGGTGGGAGGTGGGCCCCGTTTGCTTTCCAAGACAGTCTGACAGTGTTTGGTAGAAGGGTAATGTTTTTCAGACGGAGGTTTGAAATTAAGCATTGCAGACTGGAGAGGTGACTCGGCAGTTAACACTAGCTATCCTTCCAGAGGATCCAGGTTCGATTCCCAGCACTCACATGGCGGCTCCCAACTACCTATAATTCCAGTTCCAAGGGATCCATGCACCCTTCTGGCCTCTGTGGGCATCAGGAAGGACAATAGTCCCAGTTGACACATTTCAAACCAATTGCCATTTGTAGGGCTTATTTTTAATGTAATTCATAGAAAGCTTAAGAACCCGGGACCTGAAGGAAGATTGGGAGGAGAATACCCCCAAAGACGGTTCTGCCTCAAATTCTTTCAGCTGTGAAAGCGAAAGCTACACTGCGGGGAGGGGGGGGGCGGAGAAAGTAACTCCAGCCGGGACAAGCAAGTGCTACAAAGAAACAAAGTCTCGTTTGCTGTGTTTGAGTTTTGGTTTGAACTCGGCCTTACACACCAACAGTAGACAAGGTCTGCTTCCCCTCCGGTGCTTCAGTGAGGGGCTGGACTGAGACGGAGAGAAGAAGGCAAGCTAGGAGAGGGTCAGGGAGTAAGGGGTGCTTTGAAGAGGATGCTGACTGATGTCAAGCGCGAGACTGCGAGACTGCCAGAGGGCAGATGCTGTTAGTGGTCCTGCAGCCCTGCTCTGGTGTCCTCTGCCTGGCTGGATACCCAGACCTGCGGGAGGGGTAGGATGACAGGGTGCAGCCACTTGAAGACTGGCCACCTGTGAGATTACCCACACTCACATGGGGTCCGTTCTGAGGTGGACTTGAACATCCCATGGTCTATGTCCACTGAACCTAGGATGCTGACAAGCCTTCGGGTGGGATCAAGTCACTCTCAGGGCCGGGGTCTACATTACCCTGCTTCTCTCAAGATTTCTCTGCAAGGACCGAGACAGAGAGAGAGAGAGAGAGAGAGAGAGAGAGAGAGAGACAGAGACAGAGACAGAGACAGAGAGACAGAGACAGAGAGACAGAGACAGAGACAGAGACAGAGAGACAGAGACAGAGAGACAGAGACAGAGACAGAGACAGAGAGACAGAGAGTCCAGAGGAGGAGCAGGTGGCAAGGGGAGGGCATGGAGGAGGAGGAGGAGGAGGAGAAAGAGGGGTAGGAAAAATTCCAGGAACAGAAATAAAAAGGAGAGAACTGCCTCGCTGCGAAGCTATATTTAAAAACAACGTCAGATGTTAAGTGTTTGTCGAAAGACACGGATCAGAATTTGGGCTGCTACGTCCCCCTCTCTGTTCAGCATTTTTTTTTTGGAAGGATGTCTGTGGTTTTCAGCTGCTTAGCTCCCTTCACTCTCCAAGGTCTCTTCCACGGCAGTGACATGGCTGCCACATGCCCTTCATATCACTCCCCCCCCCCTTCCTACCATGGGCTGACAGCCCAAGACATTCACTGGGAAGCTTGGTAGCTGCTTCCAAGCTTCTGGCTACATCTTCCCCTCTGTTTCTGACACTCACGTCTTCTCTGAGGTGGGGTGCACACTGGTCCTTCGGAAGCAGAAGAAGCCCCGTTCTTTTGGTGTGGCTTAGCGCACGCACAGATAGTTACTGTTATCTGTGCTGTTAAGTTTGGGCAGGGAGAGAAGGCAATGAAATGTAAATCTGTCTAAAATGGTTCTATGAGAGGGTCAGGATTGAGAAGAAGACCAAGAAGCTGTCCTAGTCACTCTTTCTTTCTGTTCTTGATTTTTTCTGAAAAAGGTGTGCTCCATTAAATAAGGGGGCTGAGGAAATCGTATCCGTATTATCTCTGTCTTGCTGCAGGATGACCCCTTCCTATATCTCTGGTTTGTCTTCCCTAAAATAGAGCTGGGCGTAGCCGTGCTACCTTGGAACAAATCCACCAGTTCCCCACGCCACCAGCTAGCTCTCTGGAGCCACAGATGACAAAAATAGAAGCAACTCTTATTACTGTATCTTAATAAGAAGGAGAGGACTGAAGCAAAGTCCAACGTGTTTTGCGTGTTCTGGGAAGGGAAGGCTGTCTTTGTATTACATCTCTGATAAGTAGTCCAATAATAATAATAATAATAATAACAAAATTTGCCCCAATGACATTAATTGGGGAAAAAGACACTGAAGTCCCATTTTTGCAGTCAAGTGTATCTTACCTCAGCTCTGGTCACAATGATGCGAATTAGTGTCTCCTCATCTGTCCCCATGCCCTTCATGGCCTTGTACAGTAGGTCAGCAAAATAGCCCTCGAGGTCCTGGGCACATCTCACTGGGAGGGAGGGAAAAGGAGGATCTGAAATGTTCTTGTGGTTTCTTGAACAACCCAGGGATCCTGCATAGGCCCAGAGTGTCCCAGCTGTCTGTGGGCCTTCTGGGCTTGACACGCAAGGGTTTGGAAGGATCTGACTTCATGCTATTGTGAAATGAGATCTAGAAGGTTCCCTGGGTCAGTGTAGCATGGCTGTCCAGCCAGAGTTGAGTCAAAACCACTGCAGAATGAGGAGACTGGCCTCTGGGGAAGGAGAGTGGTCCCCTCACACTCATACCGTGGAGGCCTGGAGTCTCACTCATGGACATAGCTGGGGCCACACAGCCGAACCTCTGGGGCTAAAGCAGGGTGCTGTGGGAAACAGAGCCTGGCCAGCAGCCGTCCAAAATAGAACCTCGTTTCCAGAAGGTTTGCTCAGCTGGACCGCACCCTGCTTTCTGTGTTCAGCCGCCTCTGCTCCCTTTATTTCCCTACTGTGTTTGTTCGGGCATCTTCTGTATCCTCTCTGCAGGTCCTCAGCATCTTTTTCATCTGGTTCACGGGACAAAGATGTTTGTCCCTACTATGAAAGGTCCCCTCTTATGTTTCTGCTGTCACTCCTTTCTGGTCCTCCCCTTGTCTGCCATCTTTGCTCTGTTTACAAACCAGGCTTAGTGTTTGTTCATCAACCAGGCAATGGGGTGAACTTGTGCGCTGTGGGTAAGTGTGTTGACTAGTTTTGTGCCAACTTGACCCAGGCTGGAGCCCTCTGAGAGGAGGGAACCTCAGTTAAGAAAATACCCCCATAAGACGGGGCTGTAGGCAAGCATGTGGGGCATTTTCTTAGTGATTGATGCGGGAGGACCCAGTCCATGGTGGGTGGTGCCATCCCTGGGCTGGTGGTCCTGGGCTTTATAAGAAAGCGGGCTGAGTAAGCCATGGGGAGTAAGTCAGTGAGCAGCATCCCTCCATGGTCTCTGCATCAGCTCCTGTGTCCAGGTCTCTGCCCCGTTAGAGTTCCTTTCTTGACTTCCTTCAAAGACGGACTATAATAAGGAAGTATAAGCCGTAAGTATAAACTTTTTTTTTTTTTTGGTTTTTCGAGACAGGGTTTCTCTGTGGCTTTGGAGGCTGTCCTGGAACTAGCTCTTATAGACCAGGCTGGTCTCGAACTCACAGAGATCCGCCTGCCTCTGCCTCCCGAGTGCTGGGATTAAAGGCGTGCGCCACCAACGCCCGGCTGCAGTATAAACTCTTTCCTTTCCAAGTGCTCTGGTCATGGTGTTTCATCACAGCGATAGAAACCCTGGCTGAGACAGCAAGGAGGCATTTCTCACCCTTCCTCCCAAGCTCATGGGCATCCACCACTACACCTGCTTAAGAAAGAATGGACCACTTAAACTGTTGACGTTTTCCTAGAAAGCTTACCAGCATTTGGGTTCTTTAAAATTTGCTTTCTGTTTGTTTTTTGAGATAGGGATTCATTCTATAGTCCAGGCTAGCCTCAAACTCAAGAATCCTCCTGCCTCAGATTGGAGTTACAGTGCTAGAATTCCAGCAAGTGTCCCATGTTAGTGATAGCAATAAATGCAATACTTGTGTGGATTGTGAGCCTGAGTCTGTCCTGGAGCAGTGCCTTCCTTTTCCAGCCACTACCTGTGTGGCTGATGCTTCCGGGTAAGGGAGAGGAGCAGACCTCGGTCAAGAGCTATTCTTTCTTCCCAGTCCAGACAGCAGCCACCTAAGTTTCCGTGGAAACCGGAGGGCCAGGTGTTTGCTCTCTTCAAGAACAATTCCCAGATTCCCGGTTTGAGGTGGGTGGGAAACCCCGTGCTACCCTGACACGTGCAAACTCGAGACTTGCTGTGGTCCCCAGGCTATTTGAGCTGCTGGTACCCGCAGTTTTCCTAATCCACCCAGCACTGATGGATGTCCAAAGGTCATCTCTCTGTAAGTAGCAAATAGCAGGAATCCCTCAAAAGGTTGGGCGGCATCAGCTAGGGAATATATGCAATAAAACTGTTTATGTTGAGCGGAAGCAGCCACAGTCATGGCTCTCCACACTTCAGTCACCTTGCCTTCAAAGAGCAGGGCTTTGCAAACTTAACCGAGCACAAAACCTTCACCAGGGAGCTTGTGAGTCACCGGGGAGCTTGTGACAGTGCTCTTCCAGGCTCCCTGCCATTTCTGGTTTCTCTGTGGGTCCTGGAAACTTTCCTAAAAGGAGATTTTTGAGGCAGGTGGTTGGTGGGCTCTGTTGAAGAAGTGTTTGTGGTGGTGGTCATGTGCTCTCAGCCCCTGTAGCGGTCAAGCGATGCCTTTCCAAGGCAAGTGGGGTAGGGCTGGGGATTCTAGAAAGCACAGTTATGAAGTCGTATTCTTCGTGAGGCTGATGCGCAAGGTCTTGTCTATCAGCTCCCATAGTTCATAGCCCCCAACTCCAGCGCCTGGCTTTACTACCCTGTTTTCTGTCTTTCTTCACTGTTATACGTGTGTGTGTGTGTGTGTGTGTGTGTGTCCTTTGTGGACATCCAGCTCCTGATGAGCAAGAGCTGAGTCTTTCCTGCCTCTTATCCCACCCTGAGCACAACTCGGGCAAATGGTGGCCCTGAACGGTGGCTCTGGATCTTCTGACTGTACTCTGCTGTCTCCCTGGTCCTCATGTCACAAGTTCAGGAAAGGCCTGGACCCTCAGAACAAGTCATCGGGCAGAGCACTGTTTCCATTTGGGAGATCCTTCAGGAAGCCCAAAGGACATCTGTTCACACAGGGTGGGCATGAGCAGTGTGGGTAACATTTGGAGTTCTGTACCCCGGACTGATGTTTGCTAGTTTGAATGAAAAATGAGGATAATGGGAAAAGGTCAATGGCTGACATTGTTTAAAATAGAACTCGTACTAAAAAAAAAAATCCTCCAAACCCCACAAAGGAGTTTGGCAATAGGAACACATTTTTTAGGTTCCAACACTGCTAGTCTGGTGCTTCTTCTGGGGGGGGGACGTCTCTCCATTCCTGTGCTATTTGGGATGGTTCCCTGGACTCCCTAGTGCAGCAATGTGGACAATGGACAGTGTCTTCATTCCAGGACTTGCAAAAAGGAAGAGGGAGCATGCCAGACATGGCGCCATGCCCATCTCTCTGCTATTTCCTGCCTTTGGGCAACACCTGAAGAGAAGGGCCCGGGGTTGGCTTGGCATGATCTGGCTCCCTTCCCTCTGTTTCTAAACAGGCCTCATTCTTTGAGAACATTCAAGGGAATCCAGTGGGAAAAGGAGACCCTCTGGCCATCAGGCATGTGCAGAAACTTGTCCCAGCTCCTAACTGTGGGTGCTTTTTGGTGTGTGTCATATAAGCTGTTATCATCCTCCTAACCCAGTCTTAGATAATAGTCCCAGGCTTTGACAGTTTCCCCGTGCCACCAGCACTGATGGATGCCCAAAGGTCATCTCTCTGTTAGTAGCAGGAATCCCTCAAAAGGCTGGGCCATGTGACCTAGGGAATATTGGAAATAAAACTGTTTATGTTGAGTGGCAGCAGTCACAGCCACGGCTCTCCGCACTTTGATCCCCTTGCCTTCAAAGAGCAGGGCTTTGCAAACTTAACAGAGCACAAAACCGTCACCCGGGAAGGACTCTCAGTACAGTCACAGGAGCCACTGTGACGGGCCACTTAGATGCTCTCTTTCAGATCAGGCACTCAGTGCCAGGCTTGTTTGCTGACTTCTGACAGCTGGGTCCCTTCTCAGAAATCACCTTCCAAACGAGAGAGCTGGCTGCTCGGTGTTGCAAACGGTCTTGGGGCCCAGGTTGTGTGCAATGACTGGTTTTATACAGTCGTTAACAGAGTGGAGAGGAGACTTGGTTGCCTGCTTCACTCATCCCCCTTCTGAGCTCCCTGGAGAACAAACCCCGTTACACCCATCTCTACCTTGCCCAGTTCGGCTTTCATGTGCCACTTCCAAAATGGCTCCTGCGAGAGAGACCCCCAACTCTCAGCATGGCTTCAAAGGGAGCCCACCCTGGGGCAGCACCCCCCTAATTTTACTTTACCTATAGTTAAATAGGCTTTCTTCGAGTCTCCCGATGTTTCTTCTTCGATGGATTCTTCCATGTTCTTGCCAATGAGCTGCCAAGACAAAACCAAGCCATGACTCCAGGGTCACTGTGACCCCAGTGTCCCTCAGCTTCCCCTAGAAAAAGTGCTGCACTCTTTCAGGGTTAGTGCTATGCCCTGAGGGTGCCTATCCTGCCTCTTGCATTGCAAAGTGGCATGGTTGTCCTCTCCTCAAGGTGGGGGGGGCTCTCCCTGCTGAGTAGTTGACCGAGTTGGGGCCAGTCAAAGCGGTTCCCCAGCTTGCATCATCATATCTGTAAAATTAGGGAGCAGAGGGATAATGGATATATGCTGCAACAATGATTTTTGTGTATATGTGTGCCTGTGTGTGTTTATGAGAGGGGGGGAGGGAGAGAGAGAGAGGGAGGGAGGGAGAGAGAGAGGGGGAGAGAGAGAGAGGGAGGGAGGGAGAGAGAGAGGGGGAGAGAGAGAGAGGGAGGGAAGAAGAGAGAGAGGGAGAGAGGGAGAGAGGGAGAGAGAGAGAGAGAGAGAGAGAGAGAGAGGGAGAGGGAGGGAGGAAATGAGGATGAGTGGTTTCCTACTTTATCACGCTCTATCTTATCCCTTCGAGACAGGGTCTCTCCCTGAGTTAGGTTGCCAGACAGCATGCCCAGGTACCCATTCTGCCCCCCACCCATAGCTCTGGGTTATAGGCATGTGTGGCCACTCCTGGTGGCTTTTTTCATGGACGCGAGACTCAAACTCAGGTTCGCATGCTCGCTCATCGAGTACTCTCTTCTGTTGAGCCACGACCTTGGCCTGCAACAATAATTCTTTACATCGTATAGCATTATGTTTTCTGCCTTGCCCATTGTAAGTTCCTGGGCAGCTGTGGCTGAAACTCTGGCCTGTGTCTCCTCCTCCTCACCTGCCTTGGGACCAGAGACTTGATTACTTACAGTTTTGGGTAAAGTAAGGAGAGGCTGTGAAGTTCGTGATGAAACTTGACCTAATGGTTCATAACAGAGTGGGGCTTCAAGGGCTGGAAGCCAGGGGCTGACCACATCAAAACGCCACTTTCCTTTACTGCTGCGTGGTTGCTAATGATCTTATACATCCACTACTGGCTCACGTAGCCTGGCACGGCATTACACATTGGGTTTCTTTCCAAATATTTACAGAAACCGGAGTTAAAGTAAATTGTGCCTATCCCTAACACAAATACTGCGGGGCCAAACTCAGACAAGGCAAACAGAGAGAAAGGATCTTCTCTGCTGGGTTTAGGGCTTTGTCTCTTTCTTAGAAATCGCCTTTTGAAGACAGGACGCAATTGATCCTAAAAATAATTGAGACATTTGAGCACACTCTAATAGATTTGGGGAGTTCTATTGGGAAAACAATGGCAAGCCAACCATTCTTTGTGATGTAAGGACAATATGTGTGTGTGGGGGGGAGGCACTTAACAAGAGTCTTCCCACCCACCATTCACGTATCTCCAGAAGTCTTTTGTGAGCAGAGGACAACAGATCGTAAGGGGATGGGAGCTCTCAAGCTTCCCCCTCTCTGAGCTGCCGCCGCTTTTCTGAGGTTTGATGTGGGAGTCCGAGCTTCGGACATGGGTATCAGTTCCCTGGAAACTGGACTCTTACTGTGCAGACCGAGATTGTATTTCCTGGGGATGTTTTGTTCACACAGGTCTGGGTTTAAAAGACAAAAAGCCCCACATTAAACCACTTTTTGTCCCTATTGTTAGGACTGAGCCAGAACAGTGGCTTTCAATTTTCTGTAGACTCCCAGCCTCCAAAACGGACAAAAGTGGAGCGGTACAGTTCTGAAGAGGCAGCCGGAGGCCGGCGAGCTGAGTTCTAGGCGTCAATGCCACGCTTTGACCTCCAGGGGGCGATATTCACATGAAGTCTTTTCTCTTCGGGCCTCACCCACTATTTGCAGCTGCCTAGGTAGGGATCTGTGCAGACTCCACGGACAGAGTCTGAGGACAGTAGGCCGGCCCAGGCTATTGGGACCCTCCTTTGCAAGCTTTCCGTGTCAGTTCTTGGAATACCTGGTTCTCAAGGTGCTCTTTGGATGAATCTAGGTTTTCCCGATCTTAGGACCAGACTAATCTCGGACCAGATAAATGGGCTTCAGTGCCTGTATGGGGCTCACAGGACGAGTAGGAATTACACGTCATTCTTTTCAAACGCGTTCCCCCAAACTGAGAGCATGCCAGCAGTGAAAGGGGCAAAGCCTCTTGCGTGGACTCCAGGATATACGTGTGAACACGCTGACGACCGATAAATAACACGGCTGTGCTGGGGGTATGTGCATGCACTGTTCTGCTTGCAGAACTTACTTTGGCTGTCTAACTGTGTGAGCCTTTTGTGCTTCATGAAGCCAGGACCGAGATCACTTTGCACGGTGCGGCAGTTGGAGGGGCTCTGTCTCTTGATCTGGAATTGGAGGGTGACTCAGAAGTCAAGACCTGGGCTTAGCTGGGGTGCAGAGGGGCAAATCCTGAGCTATAGTGCCCACAGTCAAATCTACGTCTCTTCCAGGACAGCATGTCACGTAACTGTAACACTCCAGTGACGACACACTTCGTGCTTTTGACTATCAAAACCTCCTGGGGCCTGGTTTCTAACAGCAGGGTAAGCTCTTAAAGAAAAATAACAGTATAGCTCAACGGCGGTCCCGTAACGCTTTGGGAGCCAGTCTAGAGCTATTTTCCCATAAATGATCACGGAATCAGATGACTCCCTAACTTGTCCGTTGTCACTGTTGTTTACAAGGGGAAACAACTAGCAGTTGCTAATGTTTATTGAACACCTACTGTGTGCCAGGCGCCAAGTGATCTTGCCCATTCATTGAATCCTTACTAACCCTACACAACACAATCTAAATCCTGAAGGGAGTATTAGCTCTATTTTACAACCAGGGAAACCAAGGCACAGAGCCTAATAAGCCTAGAACTGACTTCTCACACTTAAACCTGTGTCAGATTCAAGACCCAAACCCAAGGAAATAAACGTGGTTCAGAGGAACCACAGAGAGGACTGAGTCTTTCATTTTAGTGAGTTCTCAAGTGACTATGGTGTCGTTGTTTGGGGACAAACTTTGTGGTAATGGCCTGGATCCTAGTTGCTTGTTTTCAGTAGTCTATTGAGGTAGTCACTAGTTCATGGAGAAAGACGGGGGGAGGAAGGAGGGAGGGAGAGACAGAGAGTGGGAGGGATGGAAGGAGAGTGTTTCTATAGTGACCACCAGCGTCAGCCATCCTCAGAAACTCCATCTGTGGCCCTTGTGACGTGGAAAAGGGGACATAGATCACATATAAGTCCTCCAGCTTGGTGGCCACCGGCTTCAGGGATGGAGAATGGGGAGGTTGGAGTCAGTTGCCTTTGATCGTGACATTGGGCACGGTTTGAAAGCAGGAGGCCCTGGAGGCTTACATAGAGTAAGGCTACAATCCCAAAGTTTTGTCTTTTCATCTGCTGATCTGCCGGCTGCACACACACTGGGCTATTTTGAGTAAGGAGCAGCCAGCGCCAGCCGAGGTAGAACTCAGCTGGGGAGTCCTGGAATTCTCATCCCTACTCTCCGCTACCGACTTGCTGTGTGGTCCTGATAAGTTACAGATGGCTCCTTGCTCGGCAGACTGGCCTTGGCCAGCGGTTGTGGGCGACCATAAAATAGCCACTCAGCCCATGTGATGGTTCTGATACTGCTGTGAAATTGAAGTCAGACACATAGCACAGCAAGGTTTTGAAGAAGTAAAAGCATTTTCCAGGAACAAAACAGAAGACAAAAGAAACCTGAAACTCCCTGTAGGCTTTTGCAAGTTAAAGATTTTTTCTCTCAGAAAAGGACTCGTTACTGAGTACCTTCAAACAGCCAGCTCGTTTTGCTGGCTCATGGCAATCACGAGATTAAAAACCTAATTTATGCATGTTTTTCATGTGAGCCTCTTTCTGAGGTGTAGCACATCAGTCTTGTGAGGCCGACAGTAAATTGTAGTCGTAAAAATAAAAGCAAACATCGTATGCTTGCCACCTGCCAGATACGGTCCTGAGCCTGCATCTGATCCTACCCTTAGGATGATGCCGTGAGGAATGAAGATGCCCAGGGTCTCTGTCTCACAAAAGAGGGAGAAGCTAGAGTCATTCGCCATTGGTAGACCCAGGATTCGCTCCTGGACCTCTGAGTCTACAGCTTTGCTCCTAAACATGACATTTCTCTGCTGTCCTAGCTCTGCTGTAACCCAGAGTACCCAACCTCAGCTCCACATTTGGGGCTGGTCAGTTCTGCACAGCCGAGCTGTCCTGTGTGTGTTTAGCAGTACACGGGGCCTTCCTTCTCCGGCCGTCGAGAGCCGCTGATGTAAACGCTCCCATCCCCACCACTCTGTCCTGCATCCCAGAGCTTGGCTTCCTTTAGGAATAGCCCAGGCCCATGTGAGAAGGAGCCCTTGAGCCTCGGGGCTTCACTACTTACAATCTGATAGGCCTGGAAGGTGGCACGCAGCTGCTTGTAGCTCCTCTTGGCCAGGACTTCATTGAATGCCAGCTCGTCGGTACCCCAGCGGCCTTCCCCTGCCTTAGGGCCGAGCGCAAGCAACGCGAAAAGGAACCGGGCAGAAAGACAGAAGCATCTGTTACTGCTGACACTGGGTAGGCAAGCACTTATATATACTGTGATGCGGAACGCTACAACGGTCATGTCACACGCGACAGCTATGTCTCCTGACTGTCAGAATGCCACTTTGTGCTTAAAACATCCTCGAATCTGTAGTTGGGCTGTCCCCGATGTATCAGAAACTAATGTGGCAGGACACTTTCCCTATTGCTACACATGCGCACCAACTGGAGGTCCTCAAAAGTCCCCGACGTGGCAATATCACATTGCAGCTTTCACTCTCTACCTTGAGGGCTTTTCTAGAGACTCGTGGGAAGAAATGTCCTAAAGCAGAGATGTGGTCCATCATGATAAAGACAGAAAAGCTACCATTTCATCCCATAAGTATGCCACCCGCCTCATAAATCCTCAACCAAACACCCTTAAAACTGGCAAAGCGGGGATTCCCTTTTCGGGGACTCCCATTCCAATCTCTCTTTGGAGTACTGGTTTTACTAATAAACTTTATCTATGGCTTTCAGCTGAATTCTGTCCTTTGCGAAGGCAAGAGCCAAGGAAGCCCCACCAGACTGAGCAGTTCACACTTACAGAGAAGTACAAATAAGTATAGAATAGATGTCAAGAGGGCAGACGGAGCTCTTAAAGCCTCCAGCCCACAGTCTGCGAGACACATCCACCTGAGTTGTTACTTATTCCATCCTGTGTTCCAAAGTGGACCCGAGGGTGGCTAACCCGAGTGTAGCAAGTCTTTATAATACGGCCCATGCAGATTGTAGCATGTATTCACTTATCAGAGGACACATTTCATTCCAAAGCCACTCTCATTTGCAGGAAGCAAAAAAAAAAAAAACAAAAAAACAAAAAAAAAAAAACAAAAAAAAACCAAAAAAACTCCTGTTAAAGCAGCGCTAATGAGGGAAGAATGTGTGGAGCCAGCACAGACACTCACATCATACAAATCTTTGGCGTCCTGACCAGCTAGGTCCTTGTCCACGGCATCCCCTTCATCCCGACTGGCCTGCAAAGATGAATGCATTGCCGTCAACTCAAGTACTTGCTTGACCTCAGAGAGTTTGAGGCTCAGCTCCCTGTGACAGAGTGGCACGGTCTGCTCTTTGCTGCCACCTTTTGGGAAAGACTGAAAACAACCTTATTTCTGTGATTCCTCTTTCTCTCCCTCGAATCCAGTAGGAAGCAAGCATTCATTCTTCCTCCCCGAATACCAAATGCCACCATTCAGTGGCAATGCCAAAGAACTCTGAAAGTTGGGCATGAGAGACTATGGAAGTCTAAAGGAAGCCCTGGATGCTGAAATGACCCCGGTGACCTGACCTCCGGTGTGATCCCCTTTCCTTGGGTGTGGATGGAGCAGGAAGGCGGAAGAGATGGTGTCTCGCGGTGGCATCATGCCAGGTGGCATGGTGGTGCTGGTGTAACCCAGGTCTCTAACCAAGCAAATGAATCCAACAGGAGATTTTACTGGGTGATTCCTGAGAGTTCGTAAAGGCCAGAGGTGGAAGGCTCTGGGGAAAGCAGTCAGCTGTAAGATGTCTGGGGGTGCAGGGACAGGCAGTAGGGAGCTGGAGAAAGACCCAGGAGCTCATAATGGTGTCTGGGTGACAGCTAGCAAGAAAACAGTCACATCAGGAAGCACATCCCGAGGAAATGAATTCCCTCAGAGCCCTGAGTGGCTGGCATGTAGACATGATGATTTCACCCTGGTGGGACCCTCCGTGAGGGATCTAGCTAACAGACATCTGGTCCCTTGGCCCATGGGCGTTGGTGGATAAGGGGCCATGATGCATTGAGTTATGTGTTTCGGGCAGTGAAACATAAGGCAATTATCCCCTTTCTTTCTGAGGCCGAAATCTACACACTTATGCCCAAGTGAAATGGGGAGAGTGGACACAGAGGTTTGTGGGAAACGGAGCCTCAGGAGCCTATGTCGGGGAAGATCTTTTATCTATTTATTTATTTTTAAAGATGTATTTATTATGTATACAGTGTTCGGCCTGCACACCAGAAGAGGGCACCAGATCTCATTATAGATGGTTGTGAGCCCCATGTGTTTGCTGGGAATTGAACTCATGACCTCTGGAAGAGCAGCCAGTGCTCTTAACCTCCAAGCCATCTCTCCAGCCCATCAGGGAAGATCTTAAAGATGCACTCTCCTGTTTGTTCTCACCTGCAGCACGGACACCAGAATTTTTCTTAGAGTTCCGCTTGTATCGCCTTTGACGTCAGATTCAAGGCTCTTGCCAAATACTTTTGAGGAAGAGGAGGGGAAAGGGGAGAGGGGATGACTGAGTTACCAGCTGTATTAAAAACCAACCAAACAAACAACACCACTTAATCCAAACCCAGAACAAAACCTACTTACGCCTTTGGTAGGCTTCTTTGATGGCCACAATTTCCTAGGAAACGGTTAAAACAATTAGTGTCCAAGCTGGGAATCGATGGGAAGCAGAGATGAGGCAGAAGTGTGACCCCAAATGCAGTGGCCTTTGTGACTTTCTATTGAGGTGGCTGTCCCTACAGAGCAGGGTACAGGCCCATGGGGAGTCTGCTAGTGTAAAGTGACCCTCTCTGTGTAAGTGTATATGGAGTGCATGCATACGGTCTCCTTAGAAATGGAGTCAGCTTGGCGGATCTGTCACCAGACAAGTGAAGACAACACAGTACATTTACAACATGGTGCAGCATTCGTCCTTAAAAAGAAAGAAATTCTGTCATCCGTGACAACGTGGCTGGTTCTGGGGTACAATGAATGAAATCATCTAGGCACAGAAAGTCATGCACCCCGTGAACTCACTTTTCTATGGGGTATAAAAAAGTGACATCATAGGTATGGGAGATAGAATGAGGGAGGTACCAAAGGCTGGAGAGACAGGGGCCAGGGAGGGGCCAGTGGTACCAAGTCACAGTGTGTGGTGGTGTGAGTGACAAACGCTCCTGTAAGTCGGGCATTTGAACACTTGGTCTCCAGCTGCTGGCTCTGTTTGTGGCTGTTATGGGAAAACACAGCCTTGCTGGAAGATGTATGTCACCGGGAGAGGGCTTTGAGAGTTTACAGCCTCACGCTGTCCTGCGTGCATGCGTCGTGTTTACAATTGATCGCTTCCTGCTTGTTCCGCCATGCCTTCCTGCCATGACGGGCTTCTGTCCCCCTGGAACCTTAAGTCATAATAATCCCTTTCTGCTGTGAGTTTCTCTTGGTTTTGGTATTTTATCAAACAATGAAGTAGCTGATACCCATGAGATAGGAGGGAGAAGTCCTCGTATGCACAGCAGGAAGACTGAAGTTGATAAGAATATACTGTCTACTTTAAGATGGCTAGAAAAGAGGACCTTGGATGCTCTCTCCATAAAGGCTTTATGAATATTTAAGGTGAGGGACTCCATGGTTTATTCGCTTGACCATGACTCTTTGTCTTGCATCATAATATCACACCTTAGCTACAATGATGACATGTCGATGAGTAATGGAAAGGTAAAAGTATTACAGCTAAGCTAATATCTTTCTCTATCTCTTAATCCAGTCTCTTTCCCTCATCCCCATCCATACAACCAAGGTTAGAGTGCAGTGTGTGTTTCTCTGTCCTGTCTACTTGTAGCTATGCTTCCTATGCTACTCCCCAAGCCCAATGTCAACCATCTTTGTAGGTTCAGCTGTGCCCGCTTGTAAAAGATCGTCACAGCTCAGCTTGTTGACTATTGACCTTCCCGTGTGAGAGGAGGAGTGTAGAGGATCATGGGACCCTTACCTAAGTATATAGTCACCCCTTCCAATCGGATGCGTGAGTGGCCTGCCCTCCAGGACTTGGGTCTAAGGGCTCTAGAGAGACTGACCTTATTGCTTCGTGTGCATAGGATCTCTATGAGCACAGCCTCATCGGTGCCCAAGCCCTTCATGGCTTTCTGCAACTGCCGCGCGGCATACTCATTGGGACGGTCCAGAAGGGCCAAAGCCGTCTTCTCGAAGTTTCCACTCAGTTCACCTTTGAGCACTTCCTCTAAGTCCTGCAGGAAGCACAGCGCCATTGATTGCAAATGTCATGGGAAGAGAAGGTGACTGTCTGCTTACATCAAATTGCCAGTCCCAGGAATGGGACACCTGCCCTAGTGAGCCACAGGGATGATCCAGGCAAGATCCACTTGACCTTGAGGACAGTGGTCACCACGATTGCCCATTCATCTTTCTGCTACCCCTAAGTCTGGCTGAGAGGCACCTTGCTCAGGGCTGACACCGCCCTGCAGATGAATTACAACAGCAAGAACATCTGCAGACCATTTTAGAGTTCTGAGAGCTTCTCTCGGCTGAAGTTCCATACAGTCCTGCAAGGCAGGCTGATGAATCGCATTGCCTCCACCCCATAAACCTCAGAAAATGAAGACTTTGCCCCCAAACATTCAGATAGAAAAGATTCCACAATTTCCGCTAGTGGTCGGTGTTTTTGTATGGGAAGATAGCAAGGCTTATGGCATAGGGTTGTGAAGGAACGAGAATACACACACACAAAAAAACTCAGTACAGTGTCCACTTTCAATGGTCAAAAATACTCATGATAATATATTATGCAGAAATATTATTACATCTTGAAAAGAGTTTTCTGAGAAAACACAAATCAGCTATTTCTCTGATAGACCTCCCAGCTCTGGGTTTGAGAGAAAAAGCCAGAAGACTTTTTGCAAAGGGCTCTGCAGTGTTTAAAGGGGACTGTGACATCATGCCTCTGTCCCTACCGTCACTTCTCCTAACACCACATCCTATAAAGGCAGGACTTCCTCAAGACTACACAGTAAGGTTCCCTGAGATACATTTTCTCAAGTCAGATAAGCATTGCTTGGGACTGCACAGGGGACCCAGCTCCTCTGTCTTTTGTTCCACAGGCATGAAAGCCAAGCTGGTATTTTATATGCCCCTAAGCCCAAGAAGCAGGCTCAGGAAGCAGGATGCTTGTCCTCACTTCTCTAACAACTGGCCAAGGTTCCTTGGTGTTGCTCTTTTCAGGGCTCAGGGGGTGTGAGATCTTGGAGTTGAGTGTTTGGCCTCCTCTGGAGTTTTTAGCATCTCCTTGGTGGTCTCGGCCCTCAGGAGATCAGCAAATGCTTGGAACAGGATACTCTCCCCACTTTTGTGCTAGAACATTCTCTCTTATTTCTCAGCATAGTCCCTAGGCCCACATTTACTTTTGTTTTGGATGAGAGATCAAGATGTTTTGTGTCTGACTTTCTATTTTGTTGGGCTAGAAATAGAAGTAAGTTGGGGGTGCTTAGTTAGAGTTAGGCATGTAGAAAAGAATGAAAATTCCACTTCTACCCAATGAGGTGACATAGCTCAGCGGCAGGGACGTTTACTAGCACAAGTGAAGCTCTGAGTTCAGTTTCCAATACCGCACCAAAAAGGTTAAATTGTGCTCACTACTTGTTGATGAGGAAGTCGCTAAGCCTACTGAACTCTTGAAGATCACCCGTCATCGTCACAGCATCGTCAACATCAACAAGAAGAAAAGGAGGAAAGAAGCAAATGCTAAAACAGAGTCCCCAAAAGTTTTCTGTACCGAAAGCTATAAGCAATCAAAAACGAGAGTGACAGAACCCAGCCCTGAGGCATACATTTGCAATATGACTCCTGCCCCTAAGGCTCAGGGAACACTGCAGAAGAAGGGAAAGAGAGACTTAACAGTCCGAGGATCCAGGAGTTTTCGGTGAGATTGTGTCTCCTAGGAACATCAGAGGTGACACCCACAAAGTCTCACCAACGTGAAGAGCTGAGCAAGGACAAGAGCAATAGACATGCCAAAGGGGACAGAGGTGGGGGAGGGGGCACCACGCACCCTTAGCTCTACAGGCTACTGATGAAAGCCGGTAGTGGGAGAAATACTCTTCGCCAGCTATAGTCAGCCCTGAGAACAACACACACACCCTTAGCTCTACCGGCAACTTGTGAAAGTTGGTAGTGGCAGAAATATTCTTCCCCGGGGAAGAGTATATCAGTTGGCTATAGTCAGCCCTGGAAACAACACACACAAGTACCATTATACAGACTGAACAGGTTGCATTAGTATTTAGGAATATATGTATATGTGTGTGTGTGTGTGTGTGTGTGTGCATGCAGCAACAATGAAAAAAGAGGTCATGAATTTGAAAAAGAGTGGGGGGTTATTTGGGGTGTTGGAGGGAAGGAAAGGGAAGGGGAAATGATGTAATTATATCATCTCAAAAGTAAAAGAATTTTGAAGTTTTCTGAACCAGTAATTTATGAAGCAATATTAATATCAAGGACAGCTGAATACAAGAGTATTTCTATATTAAGCTGCACTTACGGAAACTGGTTTTCAAGTCACTGTCCAGTCTGTAAATTATTATGTGAAATTAGTCCAAATTGAATGAAAACTTAGTAAATGGAATAGAAAAATAAAGTCAATTAAAAAACAATGCGCTAAGGGGTGTTGCTTTATAGGTATTAGGTTGACACAGTCAGAAAAGGTTGGTGTTTTGTCTGGTCAATTAACAGTTCCAGATGCCTCTTTCTCAGACCATATTCTGGCTTCAACTATGCTGTGTCTCCAGGGGTGTGGAGGAGGCTGGGGCCGAGGCTGGCACAGCTCTGCATACCTTGCCATACTTCTCCTTGTACTTCCGCTTTATCTGTTGCCTCTCCTCGGATGTCCTGATTGATAAGACTTCGATGATGGCTGTCTCGTTCGTTCCTGAAGTGTAGGGGACAGAAGCAAAGTCACAGTGATCAAGAAATGCGATGGACATTGTTGTTATTCAGGCCTGAAGAAGCCACGTCTCCAGATTAAAAGGGGTCAGAGACTAGAATGGGAGTAGATGGACCTGATGGCTTTACTGTCTTGTGCTGAGAACCATATTCTTCCCACTCAAATGTCCATGGAGACCTTGCCCTGTGTGCATGGCAGCAGGAGGGCACAGTTAGCAGGAGAAATGCCTATGGCATGTTTCCTAACTTAATTCCCAGGAGAATGGAAGGAATCTGCGCAAATTCTGAGCAGCAATGTTCAGAGCAGCATTGGCCAAAGTCAACCAAAGGTAGAAAGATCCCAAAGTCCACCAGGAGACCAATGGCTGAACAAGATACAGGGAATCCTCATAGTAGAGTGCATCTTGGATCACAAGAAGGACTAGAGTATGGAGAAAATAAGGAACGAACCTTAGAAACGTTGGACTAAGTAAAAGGAGCCAATCACAAAAGACCACATGTTGTATGATTCTATTCAAATGGAAATCTAAAAGAAAGGATTCCATAGAGGCAGAAAGTGGGTCTAGGGGTTGACAGAGTGGACATGGTGTATGAAAAGATGGAAGTATTCTAAACTCAATCAACTATGTCCAAACCACCCTGAATACATCCAGTCGCATCTAAAATCAATCAACTATGATAGGGCTGCATATATTTATGAATACAGAAAAATGCTTGTAGTGGTTTGAAAGAAAATGACCCCCTAAATGAGTGGCACTAGTAGGATGTGTGGCCTTGTTGAAGTAGGTGTGGCCTTGTATATTGGAGGAAGTGTGACACTGAGGGGGTGGGGTTTGAGGTCTCCTACGCTCAAGCTACACTCAGTGAGACAGACTGCTTCCTGTTACCTGCAAATCAACACGTAGGACTCTCAGCTCCGTCTCCAGTACCACATCTGCCTGTGTCCTGCCGTGTCCTACCATGATGGTCATAACTGGATTCCTTTGGTAACGTAAATCTATTCTCTGCTCTATTATTTCATTTCCATGTATGACTGCTTTAGTCTCCCTGAGGCAGAGCATTGATCTCTGCAATGTTTAGCTCATTGCACCCCATAATCTAAATGCCATTAATGAAGAGTCTTCATGACTCCCAGGGTTGGATCAGAGTCCCAAAATGGAACAAGACTTCCTGCAACAGGGTCTTAAGCTGCTCTTCTAGGTCCATGTCTATAATGACTAACACAGGGCTCACCTAGCTTCTCTTAATGATGATTTTCTGTAGATTGGTAACTTTCATAAGCCTTGAAGAGCCGAATTTCTGTTTTCTGTGTTGTTCCATAGCCAGTTATACAGTCAGGGTTAGGACCAGTTACAGGATTGTGTATGTGTGAAGTTGTGAGTCTGGGGTCTGGACGCTTGCTGTGGTAGTGGGCACTGTTGTGTTGTTAGTTATATCCATCTTGCTTGAGCCATAAATGGGAACTTCTGGGAGTTGAAGGTTCTACCAAGTCCATTGATTTGTATTTCCAATGCCATATTACTGAACGTATGAAACTGACCTAGAAAGGCTGTTCTATGACTATTTTTACATTTAGTAATTATGATTTAATTTTAGTGTGAACTTGTGTTGAAAGAACAAGAGTCAAATATTGGTGGTCCAGATACCTTACAGTGGGTAATTGACTCTTCAAGTCAAATATTGGTGGCCCAGATACCTTCAGTGGGTAATTGACTCTTCAAGTCAAATATTGGTGGTCCATATACCTTACAGTGGATAATTGACTCTTCAAGGATGTGGGTGAGTCTGCCACAGACTTGAGTCTCTTTACACAGTAGATTATAGTGGTTCTAGCATGTTCTGTGTAAGTGCCAGTTCCATTATCCTACACTGATTTAGTCAAAGGTGGTACACCTCTGACTGAACTCCTCTAACTTTGGGCTAGTATTTCTCCCACTCAGTCCATTGCCTCTTCCCGAATGGTCACTGCCCACCGAAATGTAGTGTGATACGCAAACCCTTTGACGGTGGGCCTCTGCCTTCCAGAACTATAATATCAACACGTCCCCATTGTTTGAAGTCATGTAATTTTTGGTGAGTCATTACGAGATTCTAAGACAACTCCTCTCAGCAATGTCTGGAGATTTTGCGGCAAGAACCAAGACCTCTCTCTACAACCCCGTACCTGGAGAGTTCTTCCATTGCTAGTGACTATCTTCAGCTGAGTGAGAAGGAACCTCTGAATAGAGCTGGATGGATGAAGCGGAAGGTGATTACTGTGCTGCTGAGAGACTAGGATCCTGGGGGACCTCAATACGGAGCGGACATATTTTGATGGAGGAGATGGGAGTAAGAAAACTATCAAGTCATGGTTCTGGCTGGAGATGAGGAAGGGAAGAAACACCTGTGATGTTTTGCCTTCACTTTGGCATGGCGTCAGCGCTTAAGACTGTCTTTGGAAAGACCCAGCCAGAACTTAGAAGGAGAGAGCCCCAGCCCACAGGACAGAGGGCCCTGAGGTAGCCACCAGCTTTGGGTCCTTGGGCAGTCATTTCTCCTCAAGGGTTGTTCCCACCTCTGTAATTCTGGGAAGATTTCAGCTATTTGGGTCCAACCGGAGAAAGAGAAAATCCTAGGATGAGCTCACTTGCAAAAACAGGAGTTAATCGCCTTCCTCTTCCTGGTATGGTTCCAGCACTGTTACCCACGCTGTCCCCCTTCGTTTCCTCCAGGGCTTTCACTGAGGTGACGTGTTACCTGTGTGTTCTACGATGCTTTTGGAACTAACTTTTAAATGTCCGAGTGCCAGAAATCTCTCCTCAGGAAAGATTTCACGGTCTTTTTAAGTATTGTAGAATGTGCCCTTTAGTTCTGTGAACCCTCTTTTCATTGGGGCTCCTCCTGCCCAGGTCAAGGTCCTCAGGATTGCGGCTTAGATCCTAGAGCCTCCTATTCCTGCCTGCTTTTGGTATTTCCGTGTCTTTCTAGATGAATGAATGCATATCTGTATGTATGAATGAAAGGAGAAGTTTGCACACCATTATGATAGAATTCTGTCTCTGCATTGGCGTGTTATACTCAAATGGACTATAGTAAAAGGCCAATAGTAAATATTCCTGACTGTATGCAGATAATCAGGGGAAATGAGTTTATTAGAAAAAGAATCTAGTTCTATAGATTTTCCCCGCTAGAAGGTCCTTAAACAAGAGAGATCTTAAGATGGACATTTTGGTATACCCCTGTCATTCAGGTACTAGGGGGTGGGGCTGAGGTAGGGAATTACAAGTTTGGGGTCAACCTGGGCTATATAATGAGTTCAAGGCCACCGTGGTTAATGCAAGACCCCATGTTTTAAAAAAAAGGAAAGCAAAACAAGCAGCAAAAATGCAACACAAGAGAGCACAGCAGTTGTAGGATGGTTCAGCACCAGCCTTAGAGGACGCAGGACAATGACACGTGGGTATCTGAAGCCACTAGAGACCAAGTCTCAGGTGGATCCCAGAAGCCGTTTTTTACAAGGCATAGAAGAAGCGGTTTGCTGAAGGTGACCTCACTCCTCATTTCACGGGCCACGTGTCTTAGAAGCAGGCAGTGCTGCTGAGAGATTTCCTGGAAACATTTATGATGGTTTGAGGCACTCAGGCCAGTCTCCAGTGGTTCTGGGAAAGACTTTATAAAAAAGACCCCCGCCCCATGCCGGCTGTACCTCAGACACTGGAGGGGAGTAATTACATAGCTTGGCCGGAGCCTGAGTGATCGCCAGCTCGGAAGTCCCCGTGGGCATCTGTGCTGTGCTTCCCAGCAATTTTCCGGAGAGCAACTGGGTGGTGTTGGAGTTTTGGCAGGGTGGAGCCACATGTTTGGAGGCCACAAGGTGGCAGATAGACAAGACTAAACCGGTAGCAGAGGCTGCAGCCCACGCTGACCTGGTTGACCCCAGAAAGCTGTAATCTGGGGCTTAAGGCAGGCCCCACATTGTCACCCTGGGGGGGCGGGCGGGGTGGGGGAGGGCACAGGGAAGGCAAGAGAAGGGATGAGTGGGCTGAAACCTGTCTGCCTGGGGGGACCACGGGGTTTCGCGTGTTCTGTGCAGTCACTTCCGGAGGTTATGGTGTCAATCACCACAAATTCAATGGCTTCAAACAGCACAACTTGCACCCCTACAGTTCTGGATACCGGAAGTCAGTGTTGTCAATGGGGCCATACTCCTGGTTCTCCTAGCTTCTCCATATTCTTTGACATGAGAGCAGTCTCTACCAGTTTTCACATCTCCCCAACCCGGCTGCTATCTTTCTCTTCTGTCTTTCTGTGTTCCCCAACAAACACCCATTTATCATTTATCTTGGGGTTAGTGAAATCATTATACCCTCGCCTTCAAAAGAGTTTGTGTTCAGCATGCTACCTCATCATCATACAATAACATCATACTCCTGTCTCCATCCCATGGCCAGGCATCTGGCCTTCACCACAGAGCGTGAGGGAATTCTCAGCTGCCTGGAAAGTACCCTGGTGTTCCCTTCCACTCAGCAAACCTCAGGCATAAACATCCTGAGGCTTCCACACAGGTCTTTCCTGGGCAGCTGTCTACCCGACCCAACAGAAGCCTAGAGAGGAGCCGCCCTGGGATAAAACCAGGAAGATGCAGCCTCTGCGCTTCCTCTGATTTCCCCAGGCTGTCAGTCACTTCTAGATGCGTCTTCCTCGCCCTGAATGCAGCTCTTGTCAGATCTGATCCCTAAGACCTCCCATGGAAAAGGCCAGTGTGATTGAGACAAGATTAAGATGGCTTAAGCTTCACTTCTATTGAGGGTCTCCATAACTTCAAGGTCAAATTAAATGTCATAGATTTTAGCTTCCAATAAATACCCCCCAAAGTAATGAGCCCCTATTTGAGACCTCAAATATAGAGGTCACCAGAAGAGATCACTTGAGTTAGCTTAGAATAATATGACAGGTAGGCCCCTTTCATGTCACTTTGGGAAAGTTGGTCATGACATCAAGCTTAATCAACTTAAAAAATAAATAAACGAGCAAAAGTATTTCATACCCATTCCTTTGCAGGCTTTGTACAGCGTTTTGGCATCTCGGTCTGCGTCAAAGCCCAGATGGCTTTTCTCTTTGGCCTGGAGAGGAAGTAATTCAAAAGGGGATAATGCAGTGAGTCTAAAATTAGTTTTGCTGGAATTGATGCTCAACTGATCTTTCCCTAGGTTAATATACCTAGAGAGGAATGAGGCTCCCTCTACTGGCCCTGTGGAGCTGAGTGGTTCTTAATTTAAAACTGTTTTGATGGTCCTTCTGCTGGCTACATACCACAGAGAGAAAGTGTGAGAGAAAAGAGAGAAGTTGAGAGCGAAGGTTAGTCAGGAGGAGAATGGCTGGAGGAGGAAGAGGAGGGCAGGGAGAAAAATATCCCCCACGTGGAAGTACCTGGATGACTTTCTGTTCCATTACTGACAACCAAAACCTCACCCTCTGACCAAGAGAGCATGAGTTGGGTGTTGTGACCCTAAGTGTCCTTACCGAGTCTGCGGTCTGACAGAGGTTTCTACGAGTGGAAAAACATAGGATCTGAGAGTCAAAGGGGTCTTTGGGCCACCCCTCACCTTTTTTGGATTATAAAGCCATGGCCCACCAGTTTAAAAAAACAATTCCTATAAAATCTTCTTACATTTATTTATGTATTAATTGACTGTAGGCATTAACTGATTATGTATTAATTGATTTTGTCTGTATATGCTTGTGGGTGTGTGCATGTGACAGTTATATATTAATTGTATGTATTGATTATGTATTAACTGATTTTGTTTGTATTTTTGTGGGTGTGTGCGTGTGACAATGTCTTTGTAGCGGTCACAGAATAACTTAACAGTGTTCTCTCCTTCCACCATGTAGGTCCTGGGGACCAAACTCAAGCCACGCAGATGTCTTTATGCACCGAACCATCTTGCCAGCCTGACATGGCCTGTACTGAAGCATTGGAAACAAGCCAGGAGGCAGGCTGGCCTTTTCAGAACACCTGCTACATCCCAGCCAGCTTACAGACCTTCTTTTGCTACCTATAGAGAAGAACGAGCTACACTCACAGTGCTCATTACAGGCGAGGACACCTGGCTTCAGGTCCTGCCCCCTCCTGCCACTCACCCCAGTTTTACCTCAGGCAGAGGACTAACACTCCCAGTCTCCTTATCCCCATCTCCTGTGGCTTTGAGAAAGCCACCCTGCTGCTTTGGGAGGCTTCTTGGAAAGATCTGCCACACTGTTTTCAGGACTCACTTCCAAGTGACGCTCAAAAATGATGAAGAATTCCAACATGGTGATATCGGAGCACTCAGGCAAACACGGGGTCCTTTGTGGAGTCCCACGAGGCCACACAGACGCTCACGGAGCTCGTGTGCCTGCACAAGCCTGCTTGTGTGTGTGAGCAGGGGCCATGGATTTGACATATTGTCACCGAGGGGGATAGAAGGCAGTCTTGGGTGTCAGTCCACGCTTCCCCTGTTCGAGGCAGGTCTCTTGTTGTTTGCCAGGTTAGCTGGCCTGGGATCACCCCTGGGGTTTCCTTTTCCTGCCTCCCATTGCCATTGGGGCTGAAGTGTTTCAGCTGTGTGTTACTGCATTCGATGTTGTACAGACTCTGGTGATCCGAACCTAGGACCTCACGCCTGTGAAGTAAGAGCTTCTCCCACTGAGCTATCCTCCCCCAGCTACCCACCATAGTTTTCTTTAATCAATTTCCAGGCGAAGGAGAGTCTCTGTAGGACTCTCAGAAGACTAAATGGTGTGCTTGCTCTTCTTCAGGGGCAGGGCTGGACCCGGAGAGCAGAACTTGTCTATTCTGGGTTCAGTTCCAGACCATTCCACAGGAGCTCATCAGCATCAGGACTTGCGTTAGCTGCCCCACTTCAAAACTAAGAGTGGAAGCTGAACACGGCACTTTGGAAATGGCTGTGGAGGTCAGGCTGTGCCTCAGGTCCCTAAGAGTCAGGTCACACTTGTCAAGCGCTGGCAGGGTGGCTTCCCCTCAAAGGGACGCCTTCTCCTCATTGGCACAAAGATGTTGTGAGGGCTAGGAGGCCATGTGAAGGTTTGTCTGAGACCTCCTAGTCGGGGAATGGCCGAGTGGGAACCAAGGTTAGAGCCAGGACTTTCTGACTGGGACATAGTAAATGACATCCCTGGCCCCATCCCTGTCTGGTTTACAAATACCGTGAAAGTATAGTTAAAGGATGGGGAAAGAAACCCCTCACGGGTAAAAGCTGACTCCAAGTGTCCTTTGGTTCAAGCTGTGATACCCGGGGACTCTGTGAGAGGGTGTGAACCTCATGTTAGGACTGGAGATGATGCTGGGTGTGGTGGGTTGGACGAGAATGGCCCCCATGGGCTCGTAGATTGTAATGTTTGGTCATCAGGGAGTGGAACTTTTTGAAAAGGATTAGGAGATGTGGTCTTGTTGGAGAAAGTGTATCACTCGGAGTAGGCTTTGAGGTTTCAAAAGCCCACGCCAGCCAGGCCCAGGCCAAGTCTCTCTCTCTCTCTCTCTCTCTCTCTCTCTCTCTCTCTCTCTCTCTCTCTCTCTCTCTCTCTCTCTGTGTGTGTGTGTGTGTGTGTGTGTGTGTGTGTGTGTTCACATGCTCATTAAACATGTTCCTTTATAAGAGTTCTGTGGTCATGGAGCCTCCTCACAGCAGTAGAACAGTGACTAGGACATTGGGACTTCCTTATGGGTGTGCATGCCTGGAATATAGTGCAGAATGAACTCCCCATCAGAAACACTGTCGTCAGCAGGGAAGGACAAGGACCTCAGCCCTCTCCTTGTAGGAATCACTGTTAGCCATGCTGGCTACGATTTCCAGCCTGCATGAGAAGACAATGAAGTATTTTTCTTTGTAATAGCAGGGTTAATGTGTCATGTCATGATGAGAGACAGAGACAGAGACAGAGAGAGAGAGAGAGGGGGGCAAAGGGGGAGGGAGGAAGGGGAGAGGAGGAGAATCTCAGCCTGTTTGGATTTTCTTTCTGTGTGGCTGGGTCTGTCTCCACAAAGACTGTATTTATGTTTGTCTCCCCTGGCTGATCCTGGATGTCCTGGGGCTCCTTCGGGGGAAGCTGAGACAGGCTTTCCTCTGGAATGCTCAGGTAGCGGGCATGCCACAGCCATTGTTCATTGTTAAGTGGGCAGCTGACTTTGGAGGCTAGTCCTATTTGCCAACCAGATCTCAGGGGAGGGATATGGGTTAGCGACGGAGCTGGTGGCAGGGGACACCAGCGCAGGATGGCCGTGCTCCCAGGTTTTGAATGAGCACACAGATACCCTGCCTGCTTCGAATGTGGCGGCGGAATGACATCCTTTGTGTTTGGATGTGTTTGTTCTGAACAGCCCTGGCACCTACTGACACCCAGGAAGCAAAGTTGGCACAAGAGGTTAGATGCCAATAACCATCGGTGTGAGGCCTGGGCCACAGGAACCCTGGTTCAGCTGCGATTCTGCTACTCGGCCGCTCACCTGAGAGCCGGCGTCCTCCTCTGTAAACTGGAGGCAGCGTCTATCCTGCGAGGCCAACCCAGGCTGGCATGAGACTAAGTGCCCGCCTTATTCCACGCGCTTGCTTCACATGGACACTAGACACCGTCATAGGGCATCTGTGCCAGCCCCTCCCTACCTCTTCAGTCATCTCTTGTGCTTTTGTCGTGATGCCTACAACATTTAAGGAAGTGATATTTATTTATGTGCACATCAACATCAATTACACGTACGTTCCTGACACAGGATCTCATGTGTCCCAGGATGTTCTTGAACACGCGATGGAGCCGAGAATAACCTTGACTCAACCCACACCTTTGCTTCCAGGAGCTGGGGACTGTAGGTGTCACCACCACGCCATGCTTGGCTCAGCTACGCACATTTTACCAACAAGTTTGGAAAGTCAAATGTACACATATGAAGACACTTAAGTTGATTCACATATATCTAACATACATCTGGGCACACACACACACACACACACATATGTACTTATATATGTGTGTGTCTCTCTATTGCAATGAAGAGGTCTGAGTTACTGAGATTCGAATTCAGCCTGACTAGAAAGCCCTGCTCTTCAGATTGACCCTTTTTTTTTCTCAGAAGCACTACTTTATTTCCCATTTAGAGTCACCAGCTCATCTGTAAGGCAGACACGCACTTTCTCAGGTGTAGTGTGGTGTTCAGACACGGTCGTGCCTCTAACAGGGTATTGAGGTGCTGGACCAGGTTGGTGGCACGTAGAAGCTGGGCTGCCTGGTGACATAAGGATGTAAGGGTCATTTGTGACTCTGAAGTATTGTTGAAATGTAACGGGAGCAGCGCTGGGATTTAATATTTCCACCAAAGGTCTCCGGAGGTCCTGGCTTGGGGCCCTCTGCTTAGTAAATATTTGAGAACGGTTGCCTGGTGTCCAGGCTCTGAGCCAGCAGGGCTCAGGAAGCACCGAGGGCGAGCGTCCCTGAGCTGCCAGGTGCTGCTGCTGGGACCACTGTGAAGTAAGGAAGAGGCTGAGGGAGGATTTGGTGAAGGTGCTTTCTGGGTCTGTGAAGCAGGAGCAAAGTGGCGAGAGACTGTGCTGGGGCTAGCCCTGGGCAAGCCTAGATTCCTCTCAGGGGCAGCAATTACCATTGGCACCATCCATGGCACCACGAACCATTGCCAGCCATTCTGGATGCAGCATGAACCAATGCTGGCTATTCTGGCTGAACTCGCCTTGCACTACTTTCTTAAAACAACATTCTTGAAGAAAATTACCAATTTGATTGGAATACAACACACTGCATACAACTTGACACCTATAGTTACACACATAAACCCACGGAACTATCACCACCATCCAGGGTTGAGATACACCCTCACCTCCCCAACTTTCTGTGTTTCCTTGAATGTGCCGTGAAAGACTCTGCATGAGATTTACATGCCTGACTAATGTTAAGCGTGTGTTAGAATACTGTTGAGTAGCGGTTGCACACGGCACAGTGCGTCTCCAGAACTAACTCACTGTGGCTGAGACTGCACAGTGACTGAATGACACCTGCATCCCTTGGAGCCCATGCTCAATGCACCATCCCTGGGAGTTTTGCTATTGTAGGTCCC